ATCGGGGAAAGGGGGGGGGTTGGGTATGAAGGTATTGCGAGGCTGGGGAGGGGGGAACCGGCGCGGCGCGGCCCCGCCGTGCCCGTTCGGTGCCGTCCGGGCGGGGTCGCGCCCGCGGAGACTGAGCGGAAAGTGCTGAGTCACCACCGCGCCGGCACGTGGGGCCGCCGCCCCGCGCGGGCCGCGCGGCACCGGGCCCGGCGGCACGTGGCGGGGGGAGGCGCGGGTCCTCCCCGCTCCCCTCCGCCGAAAGAAAGTTACCGCGAGTCGGGGCCGCGCTGCACGCGCTCGGTGCCGCGTTTGGATCCGCGAACGCCGCTTAAAATAGAGCGGGCTCAACCTGTTGTGGTGACGGCGGGAGGTTGGAAATACCGCGCGGTGCCGCGCCTGGAGGCTGGGTGCGCGAGCCGGCCCACGGCCACGCGCAGCGCTGCGGGGATCCGTGACCCTCAGCGTCCTCCTCGTGTGAGCCGCCGTTGCGCGGGACGGCTGGAGATTTTAGTGCGGTGGTGATAATGATGGTGATGATGATGTGTTGTAATTGCTCAGAAACGGGGCTGGGGGAAAACCCGTTCCGAGCTCCGCGTGGAGATGGGGAGGATGAGAGCCGGAGTGCAGCGTGGGGCCGCCGGGGAGGGGAACCGAGAGCAGAGCTGCAGGAGTGCCGCCCTCCTCCTGCTCCTCTCTCGCGGGACTGTCCCAGAGCTCCGACAAAAGCAGGCCACCAGGTCCCGAATTTGGAACGGGCCCGTTGGGCAGCGCTGTCACAGAAAGCTACAGGGCCCCTATATTGCTGTCACCTGCCCCTGCCTTCTGAGTGCAGCCGGCAGCCCAAGCAGGGCTGGGAACGGGCACAGCCGCCGGGAGGGATGTGCTGGAGGGCAGCTGTGTGCCATCGCTGCCATCAATGCCATCGATGCACCCCGGCACTCTGCAGCATTCGTTACCTGGCAGTGTCCGCTCGCAGCGCTGCGTGTCGGTGTTTTTCCCTCTCCTTCCGCGTCCCCCAGCACAGCACAGCTCCTTCCCCACGCAGTCACTTCCTCGCTGTGATGGACGCTGCCGCTGCCCAATGGCGCTGCACAGGGCCGGCAGGCAGCAGAGTTAACTCTGCCTGCACCTGATGGGGTGCTGGGCCCTAATTAATTGTCGTCGCAATCACCACGAGGATGGGGCACGGCGGCTCTCCATAGCTGGCGGCTCATCTTGGCACGCTACGTGTCTGTACCTATGCTGGTGCAAGCTCACGCCCCTCTTCAGAGGTGTTTCTGAGCCAGGTGGCCAACTGTCAGCTTTTTGCTCTCCCCTCGTTCTGCTTTGTTGTGTTTCATCCCATCCCCGTGCTCCCTCGGCAATCTGTTGCAGCTCGCAGTTGGGTTGGTGCCTTGCGTGTGCCTTCCGAAAGGGAAAGCTGAGAGCAGCACAATATGCCCCGTGTGCTGGGAAGTGATTAATGGTGTGGAATGCGCTGTGAAACCGGGCGGTGTGAGAGTGGGCAGCGTGAGGCTCTGGCTGTGTTTGGGCAGCAGGAGAGGACAGCTGGGAGCTCTGGCCCGGCAGCACTCGGGGGCCGTGGGCTGAGCTGGCCGTGCTGTAAACATCCAGCTGTGAAGTGCTCGAGCGGCGCGAGCGCTTTCAATTCTCAGGAAGTCTCCAGCTCAGCACCCTGTCGAGATGAGCCGGCAGTTTCCACTTCTGTCTGAGCTATTGTTTCAGGCTATCTTCAAACCCGAGCGGAGAGCCTTCCAAGCATGAAGCAAGCGCAAAGCCATGCAGCTCCACGGCCATAAACACGAGGGCTGGGGGAGAGGCGGGAGCCGTCCCACTGCTGCTGAGCTCCCAAGCAGCGGGATAGCAGGCGTAGCAAATCCCTGCTCTGTGCTGCTGCAGGACTGAGTGCCACGCTGCTGTGCAGCGGGTGAAGGTGTTCGACCTGCTGGCTGGCCATGGCATGGGGACACTGGGGATCCTGACCTGTCCTTCGTTGCTCTGTGTATGGGTGAGCTGGCTGCTGCTTGCAGGCTCAGCTTGCCTGGGCTAGCGGTGCTGAGATGTTGTGACTCTGGTGTAGCTCTGCCGCTGCCCCCTGTATGATGGAAAAAGTGCTGCATCCTGTGGTTGGTGAACACCAGCTCTGTCTGTTGCATACCTGTCCCCTTCAGCCACCACCTCCCCGAGGTCCCAGCTGTGACGTGGTGCAGTGTGCTGTGCCCTCCTGGTGCTCTGCTCGCTGACCGCAGGCTCTGCAGCATCTGACGAGGCTGTTTACCCAACCACCAAGGGCTGTCTGATCTCCGTCCAGGCTTCCCCAGAGAGCGCCTCATAGCGCCGTGTTCTGGCAGCTCTCGCCTTTGCTCTGAAGGTTCGTGAAGCTCCTCTCTGCTGCTGGATGCTGGTTCCGATCCATAAGGGAAATGGAAAGCTGGCCAGCTGGGCGAGGGCTGTGCGGAGCTCCTCTAGAACAGTAAACAGTGACTCACCCCTCCGTGTGTCTTCTCTCTGTTCATGTCAAATATATTGCCTTGCATATGCTCCTGCTGTCTGATTCACACCCGGAGCGCAGCCCTCTCCTCTCTCCTTACAGATGAATGACAAGCATCAGTCTGCCCTATGGGGTGTGTGAAGGTTGTCGGAGTGGGGAGAAGGTTGAAGGCTGAGGGATGGGGCTGTGTGGCACACTGATCCGCATGGTGCTGCAAAGGTGCGGAGATGAGAACTGGAGTTGCCTTCGCCTGTTGGCTCTGGAGGTGCCCTCAGTAAACGCAGCTGGAGCTGAGGATAACTCAGGGGTAAACCTGATATTTGGGTGACTTGTTGGAGCAGCTGCCTGGGAATCCAGTCCCTGTGTTTGGGAATGAGAGGAATATTCCCACATAACTCAGCTCTGTGCTGAGGTTCGATGGCAAAGATCCCTGCTGCTGCTGCTGCTGCTTGAGCACTTTGCTGTTTTTCTGCCCTCGGGAAGTTGTTGCTGGCCCGGCTGAAGGTGAGGGCTGCGTGTTTTCAGTTTGCTGTGCTCGTCTCAGGATGGAAGCTAAACACCAGCAGGGCTGCCTGCCAGGCCCTCGTGTTCTGGCCAGGCTTTTCGTGCGGCGTAGAAAAAGCTTTAAAACTGAGTTCATCCTCAGACGTTGGGTGTCGGCATTGACTTTATGGTAATCCCTCAGTGCGTAACGCGCTGTGAGAGCCCCGTAGCGTGGAAAGTCTGAAGTTGCACTCTGGCATGTTTCCTTTCGCCTTAATTGCGAACCTCACATGGAGAGCTCTGCTCTGCCTCGGCTTTCTGCTGCCTTCCCCTTCAGAGCACTGCAATCACAAGGTGCTCCGAGCTGAGATCCTCAGCATCGAGACATTGGGGTGCCTTATTTCTGGGGGTGCTGCCAATGGCACAGGAGTCTGAGAGAGGGCGAGGGCGTTGGCAAGGCTGCTGATGGATAACTTTATTGCAGAATTACAAGGGCTCTTTATGTAACCCACAGTCAAAACACTGGCTGCGGATCCCAAGCCTTTGCACGTACCGTTGGTGTATTACTACTCACTGCTTTATTTATGTAGTGTCCTAAGTGTGTCATGCTGCTTACAGGGCAAAGATGTAATGCAGTCCTTGTTCCAAAAAGCTGAGCTCCTAATTTGAGACATGATGCAGCAAATGCAATTAAGGAAAGATGAACAGCAATAGGGCAAAGGCTAAAAGGGTTGTAGTAATCAAATTGCAGGTGGTGTCCCAGCGCACCCCGAAGCAGCGTGGTTGGGGGACACCACCTGGTGTCTGTGGGGTGATTGGCTGTTACCCTGGGGCTTTTGCCTCCTAACTCTGGGGGTACCTCGTCACTGGGAGCTGAACAGTGCAGGTGGTCCCTGGGGGCAGGGTTTGGTCAGTGCAGAGATGTGGTTCAGTGCCAGGACCCGAGGGAGTGGTGCAGAGCTGCCAGGGGAGGGGGGCAGCTGGGGAAGGGCGGTGGGCACAGCCTGAGCTGAGGGAGCACTGGGACACTGCTGTCAGCCGTAGGGGTTGGGTTTGGGGTTGGGTTTGAGAGGCCCTGTGTGGAGCTGGGAGTTGGTCTCGGTGATCCACGTGGGTTCCTACAGCTTGTTACATCCCCTGGTTCCGTGTGTACCAGCAGCTCCACCGGCCGCAGGTGGCACGCGCTCCCATCCATGTTTGAAGAGAGCCATTCCCACCGTGCCCAGCCGCCTTCCAGCCCCGGTGCCAGCAGCAGCTCTGGCGCACGGCACAGCACGGTGTCGAGTCTGTCCGCAGTGCCGTGCAGGACGAGGCCTTGCTCTGCAGCTCTGCTCTGATGTCACGGGGTGGCAGGTGGCAGAATGGCCGCCCCAGCGCTGGGCTCCCACCTCTGCCCGCTTCTGTTCCACGGTGCGCTGCATCTCTCCGTCGCCTCACGCCCCATTCAGTTTTTCCGTCGGTGCTTTGAAGCCCCGCTGGGCGCAGATCAAAGGCCATTCTGTGCAGCCGCCCCACTTCAGCCTTCCCTTTTCCGGCTGCGCCGCGCACCCCATCGCACCCCGTCCTTGTAGGGCCTGGGGGCGGCGAAGGGAGGAGGGGGGGGATACCGAGGGGAGGAAGAGTTCCTGATGCTGTGGGAATGCGAGCTGTGCTCTGTAAACAGCTGGTGACTCACTGCATAACTATGGCACCAAGTGCCTGCGCGGCGTGCAGGGAGGGGGCTGCCGGCCGCTTCCTTTACGCACTGGCAGCGCTCTGCTCCCCTCGGCCGTCCGAGCTTTTCCTTCCTCCTCCGTGCCTGCCTGGACATGGGGGTGGGCGGCGGAGGGGAAGCGATGAGGAGGAGGAGGACGGGTGGAGGGCAGCGCTGAGGTCTGAAGGCAAAGCCTGGTGCAGGTCAGTGAGGTGCCAGGCGATGGAGGGGTCTGTGGGGTCTGCCGGGATTGGTGCCGTAGGAGGGGCTGCTGGAGCCGCATGCGGGGAGGAGAGCAGAGTGGGGCTCGGGGAGGTGCTGCGTGCTGGTTGCTCCGAGCTCCATTCATCACAGAGCAGGACTGGGGAGCGTGGCTGTCCTTGGCCCTCTGGCAGCTGTGTGACACTGGGCTGTCTCGTGCTGCAAAAGAGGAGGAACCGAAATGCACGCCCCGACAGCCGGGGTGGTTTCCTGCAGCCTCGCTGCCCACCTTGGCACCCCGCTCCCTCCGCCCCCCGTTCGCAGCTATGAATGAGTTTGTTTACTCTCCGCCGACTTGGTGATGTCTTTGCACAGACATGACCTGAAGTCATTATTGCTTTTGGGCTTCTCTGTTGCCATGACGACTGTCTCGGGGTTGGCTACTTTCCCAAGGTCACCATGGCAACTATCAGACGGGAATCATGCTTGGGATGCTTTGGCTGGATTTTTCATGAATGATTAGGATGTGTGACACGATGCAGACGTGAAAATGGGGAGGGTTTGGGCCCGGCTGGGTAGGGGTGGGGAGAGGGGGAGAGAGAAGGAGAGGACTCCGGCAGACAGACGCGGTGCCGCCGGCTGCGCAGCCCTCGGAGCCGCGCGTCGGGGCGGACCGGCGCGGCGTGGAGCCCCGCCGGCTGGGAGAGACGGGCGGAGGCGGTGATGGTGGAAGGGCTGAGCCCACCCTTCCCGGGGTAGGTACCCCGGTGCCTGCTGTGCTGCGGTGCTGTAGGGTGATGGTTTTAAGGGGGGGGGGGACGTTGAGCTGCGGCTGGGTGTTGTCCTCGGCTAAGGTGAGCGTGAAGGGCAGCGCCTTGGCGGAGGATGCTGTCGGTGGACACGCGCCCGCCTCGCCAGACAGCATCAGGCTGCTGGGCTGTGAGCATCGTCAGCGGCAGGAGAGCAGAGCTGCTGCCTGCTTTGTCATCACGGGGGGCTTTTGTTTCTGGTGTTTGGGTTTTCTGGGAGCGCTGGGTGGGGACGGTGCTGGGAGCAGGTGACAAACCAGGCAGCTTATTTCTGCCTTGCTGATTCAGTGTCAAGCTGGGTTAATAAGCATCGAAATGAGAATGGAGTTGTTGTCTTGTGGCTTTTCGGTGCCTTTTATGAGCGGAGTTAACTCTTCAATCAGTCCCTAATAGGGCGTCCGGAGTGTCTGGATGCCTCTGGAGGGAGGTGAGACAGTGGGGCCTGGGCAGTGCATGGCTGCCTGCACGGCTGCAGTGTGAGCCACGTCCTTCCCTCCCTGCCCTGTCCTCAGTGTGCTTAAAAACAAAACATGAGGGCTTGAGCATTAAGCAGCAACGTGATTATCCGTGCAGATTTTTCTTTCTTAGACCTATATGGGGTGGACTGATCTCTGAATCCTTCCTTGTGTGGTTTTATTTCCTTTGGCGGGGTTTTGGAGCTGGGGTTCAGGACTGCTGTTCTGTTAACCTGCCTTCACGTCTGAGATTCGTCTAACTCAAAAATCTTGTTTTGTGTTTTCCAGTTGCAATTTCTGAGCGGTTTTGTCCAGAAGACTGTGCTCAGGTTATGACGACTAATCCCAAACCGAACAAGGCATTAAAGGTAGGGGAGAGGCCGTGCTGGGGATGCTGGCTGTTGGGGCAGGCTGCTGCAGAGCCGTGCTCCACGCGGTGACTGTCGTACATG